ACATACTTAACGACAGAGATACACACAATCACAGACACACACAAAAATCACATTCTTACACACATTTAGTAATTAAGAGGTCCACCCAGCTTCCCTACCTTACTCTTGGATCTTCCCCATGGTGATTAGCGGTTGCTGCTGGGCTGGGTGCTCTTCTTGCACAGCTCACTTGCGCTCAGTGGTGTCTCTAGGATTCATTTTTAGGGGGGGCAAATGGAGGGCCAGGGACAAAAGTAGGGGGGCACATTTAACCCTGCCCTCGCCACAGTTTGACCCCGCCCTTGTCGCATGTTAAGCCCCGCCCCCGACACAATATGTTAATAATTTTTTAATAATCCCTGGTGGAGGATTCATTATTTTCCACCACGGATTATTAAAAAAACAAACACATTACCCTTGATACAGCGCCATAGTCACCAACATTTGAAAAAAAAATTCCAAGGACATTTTGCAGCACAGCTATCAATTACTGTCTGGGTATAATATCCCTGGACAGTCAGTGCTCTCTGTATAATACAGGGTTGTGTGTATAATAAATTGGGACACTCAGTGCTCCCTGGATAGTGCTGCTCTCTGTATAATACAGGTCTGTTTGTGTATAATATCCCAAGACAGAGAGCAGCACTATACAGGGAGCACTGACTGTCCCGGGATATTATACAGGCACAGGCCTGTATTATACAGATAGCTGAGCATATACCCCATGTTCCAATCTCTAGACTACTAGTACCTGTCAACAGCAGCTCCCAGACACGTGTAACAGGGCTAAAGTGTGCGGCAGCTCACACAGGTGATTCAGCGGTAAAGTGCACTCGCTGGAAGAGCCAAACTGGGAATCTTCCTGGCAGCCACTAGAGGCGCTTAAGCTGCGAGAACCGAGTCAGACTTGGCTTTCACAGGTAACCTCTTTAAATGCATAAACCAATATAAAAGACGTGCATAAGGGGAAGATGAGCTATATAAATAGTAAAACACCCGCCTGCTTAACTCCTTCACTACTGCGCACTTTTGATTTAAAAAAAACATTAGAATACCATTTATTTTAAGCAAGGGATGCATAACTAGTCTTTAAACATATAATGCAGCAATTTTGGGTATAGATGATTGCTTTGCAGACAAACTTAAAAATTAAAATATATAAATTTACACAATTTTTATTTTTCACTTATTCGTTCATCTTTATAAAAAAAAATATTTTTTGAAATAAAAAGCTCTAGATAGCTTTTTATTTCCAAAAATAGTGTAGATTGTCTTTTATCTTGCAATAGTTCATAAAATAGTGCATAAAAGCAAAAATGCATTTTCTCACATATAGTAGATGTGACTATTTTATAGATATAAAAAGAAAATATCCTTCTTATAGGTATTTTTAAGGACCCTGAAGGCATTGCTAGCAGTGCGGCTTACTGATAATGGCAACAGAATGTAAAGAAAATGTCTGCATTTGAGCATCATACCTACATACAGTAAATACAGTTAAAAACCATGTTTTTCTAAAATAAATGTATTTAAAACTGTTATAGCAATCTCTATCAATCTCTGGAATGCTAGTGTAACGATGACAGTGAAGTGGTAGATTCCATTCACCTGTCCCCCTTCCCTGACGTAGGACTGCTTTCACCCAGTGAAACTTCCTTTACTTTATAAAAGCAGGGGTTGAGCTTACATTTTCAGCAACTTAACATTCATTATATCAGTAACTAGTGGCTTCTGGTATAGAGCCTAAAAATGATAAAAACAAAGTGCAGGCAGTGCAAAAGCAATACAAATTCAAAAAAATCTAGATATGCTAGTCTAGTATAATGAAATATAGAACAGTTATATTAATACACACTCATTACTCTTAAAGCAATGATAAAACACCTCCCCCAGGAGGCCACCATTCATCTCATTATGCCAGCATTATTACAAATGCATTCACTAAACTTTATAACTATATATAGAAACAAATGTAGCAATGATATTTAATATGTAACAATAGTTGTCTCATAAAGAAAAATTCCAAAGCGGCATCAATCATGTAAAAGAGATTCTGTAGCCATTGCCCCAGCTCCGAATCCACAAGATAAAAACCGACCACAATTCTAGGGTTCAAAATGCCCCTACACGAGTGTACATTGGCATTGCCCTGTGTGAGACACAACAACCTACTAATAGACACGAGTCAATACGTCGTAGATCACCATGGTGAGTAAAAGACCGCTGTCCAACAAGGTACACTCCTGATGGACACAGCAGCAAGACTTAAAGACACATGCGTGTGCACGGGGTGTGCCGGGTGTGCCTGGGCACACCCTAATCAAGCCTCAATATTGAGGCTCTGTCACCTCCGTGCAGAACTGCCGTGCCGTCCAATTGGTTTCCTCCTGATCCGATCGAGCGGTAGCGGCGCATAGTGTAGGACGGACTTGCTCCTCCTCCAGACCTCCCCTGTAACGTACGCGCGTTCCGTGACGTCACGCGGAGGTGGAGTCACGGCAACGCTAGGATGAGGCCCGGCCGTGTCATAGCGCAGGGCAGGAGTCTTCTTCCAGAACGGGTTTCAAGCTATGGACGTCAGCCAGGTAGAGTAAGTTTATTTCTTCTCACTTCCTGCTGCATTTCATTTCACTCCATTAATTTACTTCCGATAGTAGCTCAGGGCGGCTATCATCTATTAAACTTAAAGGGTCAAATGGCTACTGCCTACTGACTGATAGTTTAGATTCAAATACCGATTTTTCTGAATATTGTTTTAAACTTGGAAGAGATACATATTGTTCACACAGAGCACCTGACCTGGTTTACTAAGTGCAATTCACATAGAGATCATGAGCAATGTGTGTTGTTAGTTACTCAAACAAGTGAGCTCCTTTCCTTTTAATGCAGTTTACCCAGACCATCATTAACTCATTTATGCCCATAACTGTGTGAGATAATCTAGAAAGAAATGCAGAATAAATCTTAGCCCAGAGAGCCTTCTTTGCATTCTATCATTGGTGTTCACTATGCAGTGAAACATAATCTAAAACCTCCCCATAGGAAAGCATTGAATAATGGGGATTGAATAATGGGGATTAATGCTTTCCTATGGGGGATTTCAGCGACGCTGGAGGTACTCACATAGCGTGAAGACATCCAGTGTCGTTATAGCACAATTTTCGTGTGCTATGAACCCGGAAGTCCCTCTAGTGGCTGTCTAGTAGACAGCCACTCCAATGGGCAGCCACTAGAGGAGGACTTAACCCTTCAAGGTAAATATTGCAGTTTAGGAAAACTGCAATAATTACACTTGCAGGGTTAAGGGAAGTGGGAGTTGGTACCCAGACCACTCCAATGGGCAGAAGTGGTCTGGGTGCCTGGAGTGTCCCTTTAAAGGGTTTCTAATCACATTACGAGCACACCTTATGGTGAGAGCACTGCCCTCTAGTGGAGCACTCCCTATGATGAGTGCACTGCCCTCTAGTGGATATATGGATATGTGTGTGTATGTGTGTGTGTATATATATATATATATATACGCGGCGTGAGTGTTTGTGCTTTAGGGTGCACACCCTAATGCAATAGGCTGCGCACACCTATGCTCATAGGCAATATATAACTTCTGTATAACTTCATTATTTTGTTTTGTGTCCATAAACAATAACCAACATACATTTGCCGCCATATAATATGCTATCTACACATCTGCACGTTACCACAACACCAAAAAAATACTGTTGGACATTTTTGGGGCAAAATACTTTTTTAGCAAATTGTTTAAACTTTATCTTCTGTGATGAGCTCACTGCTGTTGCTTGTGGGGATTGGTATTTTATCTTCACAGATTCATTTGCTTGTATCACTTGGCAGTTTTTAAATATAGATAAATTGTTTAATAAAACTTTCCTATGACTTTTGTTATTTTTTTTTGTTTGAACACAATAAGATTAGTTTGCAGGTTTTAATCAATGCAGACATGTCAGCTGTGTGTAATGTTGCTCCCCCATCCCGCTAGACATGTCGCCTTTAACGTACACAGTTTGTGACCCTTCTGCTTTTCTTTGCAATCAGTTACATTCTGCTTTTGGAAACATGACTGCTATTTTCCAGTTTCTGTGAAGTCCTTATTTCTAATGGTTTCTTTGTCCCTTCTGACTTGGAAATATAGCTTTTCTCTTTAGTTCTGCACATACTTGTCTGTTGCACCATACAAGGTATGATTTATCGCCTTTGAATTACCTTCCCAATGGTATACATCTACCAGTGTATCCAACTGCATTCTAAAAACATTTCTTTTGTTCTTTTACCTTAAAAGACTTGGTCCAAATCCCTGTGTCAGTGTAGTGACTTTATCGCAACATAGCTGTAGGTGAAATACACTGATCAGCCACAACATTAAAACCATCTGCCTAATATCGTGTAGGGCCCTCTTGTGCTGCCAATACAGCTCTGAGTCAAATCATGGACGCTGAATGTGCTTTAACAGACATCACAACATACAAAAACACATTTTGAGGGATCTGGCTTCATAGGCTTCTGCCCCCCCCCCCCCACACACACACACACACAAACACACACACACACACACAAACATTTATGAACAAGCACATGACATTTTATTATGACAGAACACACCTATTTAATTAACAACATATTGCAACTATCTACACACACTGTTTTGTTTTATTTATTTTTTATAATTCTTTATTTTTGTGGGCAACAGAATGGTGTACAGAATCCAGAAAGCAATAACCATATATGGTTGTACATTGAATCTTACATTAAAATTGCCTGTAGCATTCAGTGACCTTTTTATGTTATTTAAAATATACTAAGAAAAGGAGTAAAACTATGGTGGTATTCAAAAGTGTAGTAAGGGCGTTGTCAGGTAAGTATGTTAGATTTGCTGAGAACTCTCGCCCTGTAGGTAAGTAATGCAATAAGTACATCTATGCAAAAATACGTAGTATACGTCACTCTGTAACCCCGAGCTGCGGTGTTTATAGCGAGTGAAGGCTACTTAGTAGTAATTTACGGTAAACATAGATTGAGCTGTAGCCTAGAGATTCCGTGAAATGGAGAAAGACTCATGTCTAGGCAGCCTTTAAGTTCTGCCTTAGGGACTTCAGAGGGAGATCAGAGAGTAAATCTTAACTTGATTAAATGTAGAAAAGAAACGAAACACATAAAACACATAAAATAAACTAGCTTAGTAAATAAACCTGTGTCTGTGAGTGTATGAGGGACAAAGGGGAATATCGTGGAAACATTCCAATTCCGCAGGCACTCCGTCATCGTGCCAAGTAGTGGCTGTAGGCCCAACGTCGGTAGGTATGTAATTAGGACCAGTGGTCCTTTTAGAGGGCATCCCAGAATGCAGGACACCAAGGAACTAAATCAGGACAGTGAGACAGGACTCCAAAATTGGGACTGTCCCACCAAAAGCAGGAATGTTAGGAGCCCTGCCAGCAATGGGGGAAGAACCTATTACTATTCAGCACAAGCATCCCACATCCTTGCTTGGCCCTCCTTGGTGGGATCTAAGCATTGGATTGAAGCACAATTCCTCCAATTATACTCTGATCTAACCGTGTCCATATCTGGCTCCAGAAAGGTAGCAGAGGTGCTCTGGGGTAAGATCTCACAGCCATAGTATTTTGAACTCTGTGCTTGTGTGGATAAATTAGCAGTGCCGTCTTTATAGCACCTCTTCTCCACTTGTATCTATTCTCCAGTACCTAGAATTCCTTGTAGGCTTAATGGTCAGAGGTTTTGGAGATGGGGCTTTAAAGAATTTCCCAACTGGTTCCAGGTGAGAAACTCATATGTTATCAGGATTTAGCTGCCCATAATCTATTGAACACATCTGATTTGTTTAGATACTTGGAAATTAAAATAAAAAGTTTGACTTAACTGATAAAAAAAAGGTGCCCTTGCTCTGCCTATGTGATTTGAAGACCTCTACCTGGCACAATCCCAAAGGGAATTGTCTGCACCTTACACAACAGCGTCTTTTTACTCTGGCTCCGTGGTCTAAGTCGCTCACATGGAGAGGGATGAGCTGCTAAAGAGGGTACAGATTGGGAAGATATTTGGGAAGTCCATGCTAGGGCTCCTGTTTTGGCCATTTTTTAAGATAAGTGCTCTCAGGTAATGGTACAACTCCCTGACACACTGGATGGTTGGTGTGCGGTCACCTAAACTATGACTAGGACATATTGGATATCTATTCCTAATGCTATAGTATTCTTTGACGGAATCGGAATGATTCTCCAGAGCCCCACAATTCCACTAGACCCCTGGTGGTTTTGTCTTTTTGACAAAAGTGTTTACTAGACATAAAAATTGTTCACACTTTCCAGTTCACAAGAAGAGCTATTGAAGAGCTTTGGAGACGCAATTCCCCCCTTTTGGAGTGTCACATAAAATTGCTGATACCATGCATACAAGGGACACAGTGAAATCGCATTTGGTGGCTTAGTCCCCTTTGCTTGCACTGGCTGTTGGTCACTCTGTCACGTTGAGCAATCCATCTTTCTCCCCTTCTCTTTCACTTCGCTGGAAAAAAGGCTTTGATTTTTTCAGACAAGGAGGGATCCAGTAATTGAATTGATTTTGTTTATATTTAATTTTGGAGTGTTCTTTTAATATGGTTTTAGGACTGGCATTGTCTCAATATACAATAGATTTGATATGCCCAATTCTAAAACATTGTATCACGTTTTCATGCCTTCTATAAATAAAGAATGAAAACACTGCTCACGATTTTTATTTTAACGTGTAAATATATCAGGAATGGTAAAATGTATTTCTTTATAACTGTTCAATCACAGCTGCTTTCTTTTGTAATACATAATGGCATGTACACATTTCTGAACATGAATCCATGCTAGCACATTTTTGCTATCGTTTGTTCGAATAAAAGTATAAAAGTATATATTTTTGTTATATAGTGACACTTTTGATGCTTTAAATATGGAAAACAAGCCCGCTCGCCTCTATGATATTCATAATGTCTCTTTTTGTATTGACAGAAAAAACAAATCTACATTAGTAGATTTTCTGCAAAAACAACTTTGTGTTTTACATTTAGTTAATGTGATAAAGCTAAATGGCATTTAAGGGTGAGTAACCATGGTTAATTCACATCACTTATTATGAAGTATAACAGGTATGCACATTTAACCATTCCTTTGTCATTGACACGGTTCAACATATGTATCTCTTTTTTAACCCCTTAAGGACACAACTTCTGGAATAAAAGGGAGTCTGTCCTTAAAGGACCACTCTAGGCACCCAGACCACTTCAGCTTAATGAAGTGGTCTGGGTGCCAGGTCCAGCTAGGGTTAACCCTTTTCGTTTTTTTTATAAACATAGCAGTTTTAGAGAAACTGCTATGTTTATAAATAGGTTAATCCAGCCTCTAGTGGCTGTCTCATTGACAGCCGCTAGAGGCGTTTGCGTGCTTCTCACTGTGATTTTCACAGTGAGAAGACGCCAGCGTCCCTAGGAAAGCATTATGAATGCTTTCCTATGAGAATGGCTGAAGGCACGCGCAGCTCCTGCCGTGCATTAAGCCGAAGAGGAGGAGAGCTCCCCGCCAGTGCTGGAAAAAAGGTAAGATTTAACCCTTTCCTCTCCATCCAGCTCGGCGTGAGGGGGACCCTGAGGGTGGGGGCACCCTCAGGGCACTATAGTGCCAGGAAAACAAGTATGTTTTCCTGGCACTATAGTGGTCCTTTAAGGGGTTAATGGTTCAATCTTCAGTGTCACCAATCCTTGCATAGACAAGAATATCTTGTGAATGAACAGGTCTCAAAGATGGCTGCCTCCCAGTCTGGAACATGGCTGCCTCAACCTCTAAATCCAGATTTAGAGATACGTCCTCCAAAAGGCCATAGTGTCAGACTGTGCAAGCAACAACAGGCAATTTTCATGTCAATGTTCTTTTGGAGGCAGCTTCGAGAGGATTTGAGTACAGTTAGTGGCAAAATGCGTGTCGGGACGTTACTGTAGTGTGGTGGGGCTTATAGATAAGGGATGATGTTGCGGCTAGATCAATATATTAGATATTATCATCCCACACTATCGATTTTCATTTTTAATTTCTCTCTACTCTATTTTCCTTCTTATTATGTTTTTGTATTTATATCCTCGGATTAGCCTATTTTCCTTTTGTCTTGTACAATGGTTGGAGTAAGTGAAAGACCAAGCAAGGTGAGTGGCTAGCCATAAAAGGGTGCCCTCGAAGGCACAGGTGGTATAGCTTAGGTTGTTTTTTTTTTGCTTTTTCCCTTATTATTTCTGTTTCTTTCTGGGGGGGACAGACAGGACACTATTGTATTATGAACACTTCCAATTATATCGTTTGTGACCGTGCACCCTTTTAAATAAAACAGCACAGAGTGAGGGTATTGCTGTGTGTTTGGGGTGTAAGGGTAATACAGTTTCTATATTTAAAAATTTCACACTGCAGGTTTTAAGTTTAGAAATATCAGTTCACAGGGCCGTCTTTAATATTGATGGGACCCTGGGCAAAACATTTGCTTGGGCCCCCTGGACCATGTACACCCTCCCCAGGCGTGCAAACACATTATCACCCTTAACGCAGTGGCTACCTAAAGTAGAGAGGTGCAAGAATATTTTTTTTGGGCCTCCCTATTGCAAGGATGTTTAAAAGGTAGATCCCCATCTGTTGTGCAACTCCAGCAATGCCTTGACAGCTGGGGCTCTACCATTTATCCATATTTGCAGGTTTGTATTTAGCACTAAGCTGTTTTTGTGTGTTTCAATGTAAACAGGTTTTTGTATGGAATATGTTTGTATGTGGCATTGGCGTTTGAATGTAAGCATGTATTTATGTGTAGTGTTGGTTTTTGAATGCAGGGGTGTGTATACATATAATGTTGGTGTTTAACACAGACGTGTATTTGTATGTTGTTCTGAAGCTTGAATGCAGGGGTGTATTTGTGTGTAGTGTTAGCGTGTGAATGTTGAGATGTATGCACATATACACACACAAACACACAGGTAGATATACACACAACCTGACACACAAATACACACCCTGACACACATACTAATAACATAACATACAGATACACTGAAACACACAAAGACAACGTACAGATACACACTGACACCCATACAGACACACCGATACACATCCTGACATACACAAAGATACAAACACTGACACACATGCAGTTACACAGACACACATATACACACCTGACACACTTGCAGATACACACACACGCAGACTTCATACAGATACACACACATATATACACACTGACAAACACACAGATACAAAAAATGACAACATATAGATACACACACAGATATACAGACAAACTGACACACAAACATACACTGATAGACATACTTACACAGACACAAACTGACAGACATACTGACACATAGACAGACAGATATATACTGAGACACACACAGACATACTGACACACTGACAGACATGCTGACACATTCACCAACACACACACCGACATACAGACACAAAGAGTCAAACTGATACAGACATGCACACACCGACATACAGACATGCACACACTGACATACATATGGACACACAGAGACACATACACTAACAGACATGCTGACACACACACACATATACTGACAGACATATTGACACACATTCACAGACACACACACAGGCATACTGACACACACACGCACTGACAGACATACTGACACACACACTGACAGACATACTGACACGCACACTGACAGACATACTAACACACACACACACTGACAGACATACTGACACATACACTGACAGACATACTGACACACACACGCACTGACAGACATACTGACATACACACTGACAGACATACTGACACATACACTGACAGACATACTGACACATACACTGACAGACATACTGACACATACACTGACAGACATACTAACACACACACGCACTGACAGACATACTGACACACGCACTGACAGACATACTGACACACGCACTGACAGACATACTGACACACGCACTGACAGTCATACTGACACACATACTGACAGACATACTGACACACGCACTGACAGTCATACTGACACACGCACTGACAGTCATACTGACACACGCACTGACACACGCACTGACACACGCACTGACACACGCACTGACACACGCACTGACACACATACTGACACACGCACTGACAGACATACTGACACACACACTGACAGACATACTGACACACACACTGACAGTCATACTGACACACACACTGACAGTCATACTGACACACACACTGACATACTGACACACACACTGACAGACATACTGACACACGCACTGACACACACACTGACAGACATACTGACACACGCACAGACATACTGACACACACACTGACACACACACTGACAGACACACTGACAGACACACTGACAGACATACTGACAGACACACTGACAGACACACTGACAGACACACTGACAGACACACTGACAGACATACTGACAGACATACTGACACATACACTGACAGACATACTGACCCATACACTGACACACACACTGACAGACACACTGACAGACACACTGACAGACACACTGACAGACACACTGACAGACACACTGACAGACATACTCACACACACACTGACAGACACACTGACAGACACACTGACAGACATACTGACACATACACTGACAGACATACTGACACATACACTGACACACACACTGACAGACATACTGACACATACACTGACAGACATACTGACAGACACACTGACAGACATACTGACACATTCACAGATACACATGCAAAATTTACACTATTAAACCCACCCTTTCTACGTTGGAGGGTGACTTTCCTACCAGTGGCTGAAGCTGCTGGGAGTTGGGGTCTGGCTAGCTCGGCCCAGACCCCCACCGCTCTGCCTCTTCCTCCTCCCACGCGCTCCTCTCTCTATGGGAGGAAGTGACATGCAGCCGTCACTTCCTCCTAGCCGGCTGCCGAAAAGCAAGAGGGCCTGGTTGCGCTCTTAAAGCGCCAGAGCGCAAGACCGGGCCCCTGCTGACAGAAGCCCACCGGGTGCGTGGCTGCACCGGCAGTTGGGAAAAATGCTTGAGGTCAGCGGGGCCCACGGTGCAGCTGCTTCGGGCCCCCAAGAGTAACTGGGCCCGGGGCAGCTGCCCCGTTTGCCCCGCGGTAAAGACGGCCCTGTCAGTTCATGTAACACTCTGAATTCAATCACATATTAAGTGTCGCACTGATTCATAGAACATGTTGGGGTTTAGGGATAGATTTAGGGCATGGTATTGGTGCTGGTATTAGGAGATGTTTAGGATCATATACGTGGGAAGGTCCATGAAATGATTTAATCTTTTTTGCCAACTAGCAAAACCTCTGCTGCTGGACCTGGATTCTGAGTGACGTGTGTGGGTTCAAATGGCCATTTCTGTACACATAGAATAAAATAACACAAACTGCAGGAAAAATGCACAAAGGTCCAAGAAGTAGGAAGGCAGCATCCCTGTATGCGAATGGTGGAGAAAATGCCCAGGATATCAGGTTTAAAGGAAAACATTCATTTATAACATTTTATTTGTAACTATGGCTGAACTTGATGGATGCAAGTCTCTTTTCGAACATTACAGATTTCTACATGGCAATAGATTATTGCCCTCCCTTTATAGAAGAATAAATAAACTCACTTTTTAATGTTAAACAAACTTTTTATCCAGCACCCAGTCTTTCCACGGCCACTGCTCGTCCTCTTGAGTCATCAATCCTTTTCAAGTCTTTTGAAGTGTTTAGATTGCTACGTTTTCAATGATCTTGTTATAGTGTCACTATAATTAGCACAATTTGCCAGTTTAAGGTCAATATGTTACTGGCATTGGAGGTGTTGTGACATATCAGAATGGTAATTAATCAGCAGCTATTTGTATGTCAATAAATATCAAATGTGAGATTGTAATTTGCATAAACATTTAAGCAAAACACCTTGATTAGATAAAATATTTGGGGCTTAGCCATATATCCACATACAAAGACACACGGACTGCACAAATTGTGTCTAAGTAGCTGTGCATGAATGCAAGCTTAATGTATCTATAACGCTATGGCCACTGAGCATCAAGTCTTCTTGAGTCTTCTGTTTAGGACACAGGGTACATGTTTCCAGTGGATTTCAAATAATACACACATATATAGAGAGAGCGATTACTGTGGTACATTCACTGCATAGCTCAGGTATCCCAGAATTCCAAGCTTAATATGCAAATGAGCACAGACGTCTGCAGGTACCCTTAGTAATGGACGCCGTTTAAACCACAGCTGTTGTGGAAACATGAATTCTTGAATTTCTGTGCCCAAGGGGGACTGTCCAAAGTCCAACTTGAGATATGCAGGTGGTGCACAACAGTAATTTATTTTATTTCCACTGTGGGGAGCTTTATTGCGTTTGGTCACACTACAATGTTTTCTGGCACACACACACACAAACAGACACGTATGTGGCTGCCATCTGGAAATTTCCTATGAGTCCAGTAGATTAAGAGATGGGTGTTCCAAAAAGAGGAGTCAAGTAAAATTCCATAGTAGAATCTGGAGCCCCACAAACGTAATACTTTACCAGCTGTCACTGCTCTCGTGTCTCATTCTCTTTATGATTTTAGAGCTTTCTATAAAATGATCATCTATACTCAGAGTTCTTCTAAAGCCAACCCTTCTCTTGGGAACTTAGAGTAAGCATGGGCTTTAACTGTAGATGAAGTGAAGCCACTAGTATCACTTCTAAATGATTTCCAGTAACTCTTTGCTATATCACAGTTTGTAATAAATTACTCAACTGTCCAAGAATGACTGATGCCCAAAGTAACGACTACATTATTTGCACAATTCCATGTTCTACCACTGATAGTCACCCATACACCTTGAAGACCTGGGTGTCAATAAGATTAGTGACCTTGCTTCCCATTTTCCAGCCATTTGTGTTTGTAGTTTGAGTCCGTCTATGTGTGATATAATAAGACCTACGTAGCGAGCAAAAGGGCAAACTAACATACTAGTGGTACATCAAAGCTTAGGAAAAGTAATCTAGTGCAATATTTGGGCCAAGAGTTTGACAATGCTTTGCCCCTAATCACAACTACTAACAGCTTAAAACAGTTCTCAATACGCAAAACATCTACCGAAATACTCAAAGTGTAACAGCGATGGTATTTGTAGCTCTCCCTCATAAGAATTTCATTATAGTGGTCATTATGTAACACTGTTTATTGTCACAGCCTTCCACTTGTAGCCCAGAGAGGTCATTATCAGTAAGTATAAATCAGAAGTGAGTATGGTGATATCAAAGCATTCTCATTTAGTTTAAGAACTGTTCTATTGTGTAGTATTTATGATTTGTGATTTTCATGGGTAAATTTAATATTTCCATCACTGTCCTCTGTAAGTCTACTCACTATAGTTTCCAAGCTCAGACACACAAAGACATATTCATTAAATACAGGGATAAGTAAAAAGAATATAAAAAAAAAAATCAGAATGGTGCTGCTTCGCCTTAAAGTTGTACTGATGATATAATAGGGTACGCGGTTATTATGCATAGCGGGCATCTGATTATTGTGCGCAAGAATACTAATTAAAGCCAAACACCGAAGGCACAAGCAATAACCAATCATGCCAGGCAGGAAAGCTAATAAACAATGGGGAGAAATTTGGCCCGGCAAATCTATAAATGTTAATTATGTTATGACATACCCAGAGGGAGAAAGAAAGGGGGAAGCAGGGATTCTGTACAAGAATGAATTGTCCAACTAGTGGTTCACCTGGGGCTTTTTGAACAGCTTGCCAGAACTAGCATGTTATACTTTCATCTGCAGCACTGTAGCTGTGTCTACTACTGGTATATTTTTGCTGGAAATATAATGAAGATGTGGTGAGGTAGGCAAAAAGAAACTGGGTAAAGAGAGGCTTGCAATAGGGAGGGAAAAAAGACGCAAATAAAAAAATGATTGACAAAGGGAGGCAGTTTAAATCTTTTTTTTAAGGAGCTAAATGTATCTTAAGGCATTACAGATGGAGGTGACTCATTATTTTAATGCATAAAACCGCTGCATTAAAAATGATGTGCAAAACAATTATAAATCATAATAAAAACAAACATTACTTATATCTGAAGTTTATGCATTTGATGCAATGCTTCAGGGAGGGACGGGTTAAGAGCACATTGGGCCTGGTGATGACAATTATGCTGGGCTTAATTACAGAATATTATCAACAGAAAACACTAAACCAGTTATACCTCCCAAGCTTTGTGTATCTGGCGGAAGTGGTGCTGGAGGGAAACTCAAAGGATGCAGCTATAAGAATACACATACCCTATGCTAATCTCTCGCTTTCATCTGTCAAGTAAATCCATACCTCCCAACAGCAGGGTCTGGTGATGCAGGATGTTGGTGGGCATGGTAAAAGGGTGTGCCACTAACACGAATCACGTAACTGGCACTGTCCAAAGAAACAGACATGCCCAGAAAGGGGACGGGTCTGCCCGAAGAATTGGAAGGTCTACCATGTGAGGCTGCCGGGCAATCATGGAGGCTGGCCAACTAAGGGTGTGCTATGACAGCACCCTGAGCTTGGCCAAACTGCGTCTAAGGATACACTCACTCTTACGCTTTCTAAGGTCTGTCCTCTAGCACTCACTTGTCCTCTCCTTACATTCTTACTAGCTGGCAGAAGATCCTGGTATACAGTCTGGGACAGAGCAAAAGTGGATATAGTGAGTGTAGAAGAAAGGGAATGTGCTACAGTGTTAGAGAGACCGAAGCACCAACAGCATTCGCATAGTGCGCAAGGTCAGCTTTACCTTAACTAATTTGTCAGCCAATTCACAATGTCTTGTTCCCCTACATCACTGTTCAGTTTTCATACTTAATTCCCTATGCACAAAGCAAGAGCATGTGAACAGCAGGGAAAATCAAGTTAATATGGTGTTTTGAGTATCCATTTAACCACTTGTGTTCCTTTTTTAAACACCGTGTGCTATTCCAGTTGGATCGAGGCTGTCATTAAGCTGTGCTTGGAAAGGGATATATAAGCCTGGTGAACTGTCACTAACAAGGATAAGAGCTTCTGGGAGATTAGATAAGAGACCAATTAGTTTATGAGCCCTTAGCTACTTACATTAAACACCTTTTAGAGTCTTTCCAACTGGATGCTATCAGGAACCAGACATTTCCAAATGTAAATAGCACCTTTCACTTCCTTCTAATACCTGCACATGGAAAATATACTTGGAGATGTGATGACCTTTATAACAAATAACCAGGATCAGATGCTTGGGAGGAGGAACTGACATAATTTAGATAAGAATGTTCTATAAGAATGTATACACACATTCTACTCGGTGGAATAAACCATTGCTAGGGGGGGAGGCTTCTCGTTAAATATAAATTTGCTGTTAATTAACAGCTTATTAACATTCCTCTTGGTTAATTAGCAGCAGTTATTTTTTATTGATTTAATCACAAAGCATCCCCTTATACAACCGGCATTATGCAGATCATCAATGGCAAATCTTCCTTAGTCACACCCACAATTAGCAGACTGACCTGTTTACTGTCTGAGCGTAATGAACTGAGACGCTTCTCTGTCAGCAAGCAAACAGTTCTATTATTCCACTGGGGAATTCTCCAGAATAACCATAAACCTTATTGTAATTCATTCAATAAGCAGCAATTATAGCACGTTCCCTTCCCATTGTGACCTATAACTCCTCCAATTACCCCATATAAATGCTCATTATAATTCCTCATTAGAACTCCACTGGTATATAAGATATTCATATGGCAGTCAAAAAATAAAGATTGGAGAGTTTTGTTTTAGTTTAGGAAGAGGAAATCGAGAAAGCTCTGCTCTACAGAAAGGGATGGGTGACGGAAGCAATGAAATGTAGGAAGGTAATAATAAGAAATTATAGAGGAAGGAAGCAGAATATATAGAAGGAATTGGTTAATTTGAAAAATAAATTAGAGTATAGGAAATTATATGCAAAACGGCAGGATACAGGAAGAGAAGGACATTTGAAAAGAAAAGTAGATTAACTAAGGGAAGGATCCTATTAATCCTTATAGAACTTCCTATAGCTAACCTCTCCCTATAACTCCTCCAAATAATCTATATAACCTCTCCCTATAACTCCTCCTATTACTCCATATAGCCTCTCCCTATAACTCCTCCTATTACTCCATATAACCTCTCTCTATAACTCCCCCTATTACTCCATATAACCTCTCCCTATAACTCCTCCTATTACTCCATATAACCTCTCTCTATAACTCCTCCTATTACTCCATATAACCTCTCTCTATAACTCCTCCTATTACTCCATATAACCTCTCTCTATAACTCCTCCTATTACTCCATATAACCTCTCCCTATAACTCCTCCTATTACTCCATATAACCTCTCTCTATAACTCCTCCTATTACTCCATATAACCTCTCTCTATAACTCCTCCTATTACTCCATATAACCTCTCTCTATAACTCCTCCTATTACTCCATATAACCTCTCTCTATAACTCCTCCTATTACTCCATATAACCTCTCTCTATAACTCCTCCTATTACTCCATATAACCTCTCTCTATAACTCCTCCTATTACTCCATATAACCTCTCCCTATAACTCCCCTATTACTCCATATACTCCATATAACTCTCTCTCTATAACTCCCCCTATTACTCCATATATTACTCCATATAACCTCTCCTATAACTCCTCCTATTACTCCATATAACCTCTCCCTATAACTCCTCCTATTGCTCCATATAACCTCTCTCTATAACTCCTCCTATTACTCCATATAACCTCTCCCTATAACTCCTCCTATTACTCCATATAACCTCTCTCTATAACTCCTCCTATTACTCCATATAACCTCTCCCTATAACTCCTCCTATTACTCATATATAACCTCTCCCTATAACTCCTATTACTCCATATAACCTCTCCCTATAACTCCTCCTATTACTCCATATAACCTCTCCCTATAACTCCTCCTATTACTCCATATAACCTCTCCCTATAACCTCCTATTACTCCATATAACCTCTCCCTATAACTCCTCCTATTACTCTATATAACCTCTCCCTATAACTCCTCCTATTACTCCATATAACCTCTCTCTATAACTCCTCCTATTACTCCATATAACCTCTCCCTATAACTCCTCCTATTACTCCATATAGCCTCTCCCTATAACTCCTCCTATTACTCCATATAACCTCTCCCTATAACTCCTCCTATTACTCCATATAGCCTCTCCCTATAACTCCTCCTATTACTCCATATAATCTCTCCCCATAACTCCTCCTATTACTCCATATTACCTCTCCCTATAACTCCTCCTATTACTCCATATAACCTCTCCCTATAACTCCTCCTATTACTCAATATAACCTGTCTCTATAACTACTCCTATTACTCCATATTTCCTCTCCCTATAACTCCTCCTATTACTCCATATAATCTCTCCCTGTAACTCCTTTTTATAACCTCTCAATCGTTCCTTTCAACTTCTGTTAAAACTGTTAATGTATAACCTCTACCTAATAATCATTGCTTTATTATAAATTATAATGGTTACCGTATGCGTCTATCAATAAATAATACTGTTGTAGCAATGTCACTTCTTTGGAATTTTCCAATTTTTTCTTTATTTTATTTTTTTCAATAATATTCTTATTTATTTTTTTTTCATAAAAATCACAGGTATTGAAATAAGGAGAAGATAAAGAGGTTAAAGTTCAGCATCAGATTATCTCTGCTTCTCCAGCCCTCTTTAATAATGGAGCTGTACCAAAGTCCTTGTTTTCACATTGCTTTGTTGCCTCCAGTCATCCCACCCTCAAGTCCTCCATGTCAATCACACTTGATTGTAGAGTAGGAGCCAATATGAGTGAGATCTGAAGAGGCTTTCAGGAGTTAAATTCACAGGGTTAAAAGTGCAGAGGACATGTCCCAAAACTAAGAGTCTGTGGGTCAAGAAAATAAGGTCAAAATATCCTTGACACCATCACTCTCCCCCTATCATTCTCCAGGAAGTCAGATTGCTTAGTGATAAAGGATTGTGCAGGAAATATGGGGTAAAAATGGGCTCCGTGCATTCCACTATCTGCCCCTATTACCCTCTCTCCTGCTTTTCCCTGTACTTCTCCATCATATCATCTTCATGTTAAATTTACGAGGAGCATCTGCTGAGGATAGTCCCGCATCAGACTTTCGCGGTACGTATTCTATCTCAATATTGTGTTTGGTGTTACCTTTGCCCCTGCTCCAAAGGAATAGTAGGACTAAACAGAAAAGGACAACCCCAAGGAAGGAAATGAAGCCCATGGTTGTGGCAATGATTAAAGTCTTGATATCAAATGGAAAGGGAGCACTGGCACGCGTGCTGTTGACATCACTTTCATTTGGCTGGTTAGAGATGAAAGCAAAGGTCTTGTTGGGTTGATGAGGCCAGTCTGGCGAGTAACTGCGCACATGGAGATGTGCCAAGGATGTATCATTTCCACCTGCGTTGCTTGCAATGCAATGGTAAGTACCATTATCTTGTATTTGCGCATAACGTACTTCAAGAGTCCCATCAGAGGATACGGTAAGCCGTCCATTGCTTTTGCTGGTGATGAAAAACTTGCGAGGAGACTGCCAAAGGATAGTGGGAGGTGGGTCTCCATCAGCTTTGCAGTAGAAGTGTACTGTGAGTCCTTCATCTATATGCTGTACCTGGGGTTTGCGATCCTGAATGCGAGCACGCCGGCATGTAAAATAATTGGGCTGCAGTACATCTGGAAAGTCCTTGAATTCTTTTCCTTGCACATATTCTGGACTAGCACAAGATGGCTGCTGTTTGTTGAAATTAAGTCTCCAGCGTCTCCGAAAGATCCACAGAAGGCGGCAGTCACAAGCCAATGGATTATGGTCCAATATTAGAGTTTCCAGGTTACCCACGGAGTGGAAAGAGGATTCCTCTAGTGTGCTAAGTAAATTTGAAGAGACATTGAGTACTCTCAAATGGTTCAGACCTCGAAAAGCATAGGGTTCCACCACAGTCAACTGTCCACCGACTAGATGAAACTCCTGAAGTCTGAGTAAATCATGCAACATTGAACCTTCCACAGCAGTGATGGGGTTGTATGAAAGATTAAGGAAACGAAGATAAACAAGATGTCGAATAGCTACATAAGGGATAGTGCTCAGGTTGCAATGTGTAATTGAAAGAGATGTTAAGTTCAGTCCATAAAGGCTGTTAGAGGTCATTGTATCTAGATATGGCCAGTGTGCCACCTCCAGAACTTTGAGCCTTGATAGCCTTTTGAAGGAGTAGTCTCGGATAACATTGATGTTGAGGTATCGGAGACGCAGTGATATGAGACCATGGAGATGGGACAGAGCCTCTGTGGGCACTGAAGTAAGATTGCACTTCTCCAGTGCCAGCTCTTCCAGGCTGTTGAGCCCTCGGAAGGCACGATGGGAAATGTACACCAAATCATTATCTCCAACTTCCAGAGACTTAAGGTTGTAAAGGTCCTGGAACATGTCATCTAAAAGGATAACAATTTTGTTCTCACTGATATCCAACCGTGTGAGATTACTGAGCCCTGTAAAAACACCCAGGGGAATGAGCTTGAGCCGGTTACTTCTCAAACCCAAAAAGCGTAGATTGGAGAGTCCACTGAAGGCCCCTGGCTCAATGATACTCACAATATTTTCATTCAGCTCCAGTTCTTCCAGGTATGGGAAAGAAGAAAATTCATCTTGATTAATGGCTTTTATTCGATTCTTACTTAAATCTAAAAGCCTTGTATCTGTAGGAACACCTTCTGGAACATAAAGATGACGTTTACGGTGGCACAAAACAGAACGGTCTTGTGGGGAACATTCACAGCGCTGGGGACAACCTGAGGTCGAGTCAGACAAGATGGAGCCCACTACCAGCAGGAGGATGGGACACAGGCAGGATGGCAGTGGGTAAATCATACTGGAATCTGGACTCACCTAGAAATACAAATAGAAGTGTTAGTATAAATAATACAGAAAAAAACATCAACCGTCAGTTAGTACACACAAAATACTAATCCTCAGAATCAAGAATTAACACTAGGAAAATAAAAAACTCAAAATACAAATAAGAAACAGTTAATATCCATGATACCATAGAAAAGGATGCTAAATGACAGGCTTATTAAAGCTCAACACATATTCGAAGACAATAAGCATGTCGTGTGTTTATTATAATATTTAAGATGCACATACCCCCAACATCAGCATCCCTCTTTTTGGAGGTAAAAATACTAGGGCCAGTGAAGCAAATCGCATTGTTTGAGCGACTGAAAGTGGGCAGACATGCCCAAGAAAGGTGGTAAGTCCACCTGAAGAACAGGCATGGTTTTAAAGAGTGTACTACAAGCGCGTCTAACTATTGGGGACACCAGGGAGCTGTCTCCAAAACACATAACAAATTTAGGAGGGCAGAAAAGGACCCTGAAATACCATTAATTTGGACAGTTCGGAAGCCTAGATGCATGACAGTGTCATATATAGAGCAGTTTATATATGATTTGGAGTATGCCACA